TTTACATTTCTCTAAACTAAATAATCTGACATACATTTTATGTCAAAAAATAATAATAATACAAAAATTAACTCATAAAAGACCTACATGCCCTCATATAGTAATATCTGAAACTTCAAAATCAAGGTTTCACATAAAAAATTTAAATAAACTGAAAAAAATTTCTAAAAATTTAAGCTAAGAGGCAAACTGAATTACCTGAAGATAAATATGAAATATTACAGAAAACCAAACAAGAATATCGAGCAACCAAGCAAGAATACTGAACAACCGAAGTAACGAACACCGAAGCAAGAATACCGGGTCGATCCAACGCCGACTAACCGAGGAAAAATACCTTTTATCAAAGAAAAATAGAAGTAGAGAGTAGAGAACGAACACAAAAAATCAACTCTAACTTCTGAATAACCTTGTGGATAAATAGAGGAAAAATTCTGTTTGGGGCAACTGCAGTTTATAAATAATGCTGATAGCATCTAATCTGGATAAACTGTTGATCAGCAGCTGATCCGGATAATTTGGTTGGTTGTTTAGTTTGTGAGTTTTAAAAATAATTGATTTGCAGCTGTTTCTGGATAAATGTCAATTTTACCCCTGTAAAATATGATGTAAAAAACGACGACAATAAAGCGAAAAATTGGAACGAGAAATTCAAAATTTTGAAACATAGCGGAAACACAGATACACATGATTGGGAAAATTGCCTACGTACACAGAGATGCAGAGAATTTTATTAGCTTGAGGAATTATATCGTCGATTGTCTCGATGATTACAACAATAAGTCCATCTCCCTTCCTCTCTCTATCCTCACCTTCTTCTCTTTATCCATCCGTAAGCCACCTCACAGAAAATGAAACAGAGGAAATACAGGCTTTGTGATTCAAAGCTTTACCCCGTAAGCCAACGTCAATTGTAGATAAGAAAACCAAGGGAGATCCATCATATGCAAATCCTACTTCTGCTTTTATTAGCCCAATTTGGCCCATTAAAGGCAACGCCAAATAATCATAGAGGAAGCAGCTGTGAATAACGAAGAGAGAAGGAAATAATTAAAGAAGCTGCCTTTAATTAGCAGCCTTCCCAAAAGAAGCAACGGCGGGAGATATGAAAAAACAATATTAAGCAATCATAATTATTGCTTTGCTCAATTCACTAAGAGGAGGAAGGCAAGAGAATCAAATAGAAGAAGGAAGGAATTAAATACAATTTAATTAACTTTCATAGAAGTAGAATCTGTCAAATCGAATCATGAACCGGGCTCCACAATATTCAACAATTCTCTCATTTGGAGACTAGGACACACTGCACTATTCACTAGTTGCATCGCCCTTTTTCTCCAAAAGTGATATCATCCACATCTGCAACCCAAAACTCTTGTCTTCAAGCTAGAAGACCAACCGAAGTCGATCACAACTTTAGCTTCTCAAGAGTAAAATCCTCAGTTGACATATCAACGTCAACATAGCCTTGTACTTTTCGACTATTTCCTGTGTTACTTATATTTCTACTTAGAACTCCCACTACATGGGCAATATACCATGCCTCTGTTGAACATCCTTTCAACAAGTATAGTATTGTACATCTTACAGTCATTAAGCGCAATCTTCACCCGGTACACCCTCTTGTTGCGCAATGTCTTCTTCCCTAGTGAAGTTCTGCCAGCTCCCAAGTCTGATTTCCCAACAGAGAATCAATCTCCTTCTTCATAGTCAGCTCTCTCTTGCTCGAATTTTCATTTTGCGAGGTTTCTTCATTGCTTTGTTATTCTCCACTATCTACTAGCAGAATGTAATTCAAGGTTGATGAGAAACGTTGTGGGGTACATCGATTCCTGACTAGCCTGCGAACTGTAGTTGCAAGAGTGGACTGCTCTGAAGCTGACTGCGGAATAATAGGAATGGGTGTCCTGGACCCACTCTCCTCATCACTTTCATCACCGCTCTGCAATGTGACCTGTGGTAGATTATCAAACCTTACATTTCTACTGTGGTCATCAATAAATCTGGCACAGTAACAAGAGTCTCCAAGATATGTTGAGACCGTCCCAACACATTTATGTGTACAAGATCCAGTTTTTCTGTCTTTGGCGCTCTGCCACCTTTCAAGAAACTGACCTTCAGCTTCCCCATAATGCAACTCTCACACAAGCCGATATCAACTGACTTCAGTTCTTTCAAGCCCATCTGATTCATGTGATCAAACCTGAGTAAACCTATAGTCATATATAGTGTGTTAGTTCTCTTACCCCGAGCCAGTACCAATGCCCCTTTTGTAACCCTCAAAAAGCTTTCTTAGAACACTATTGTATGACCACCCTCACTGAGCTATCCAATAGAAATGAGGATTTTCTTCAACTCAATAACATGTCTGACCTTTTGCAAAGTTCATTTGCTCTTGTTAGATGGGGCAATATTAATGTCTCTCATCCCCACCAGGTCCAGAGCTTCTCTATCAGCTAGATACACCTTCCCAAAGTCATCTAGAACATAGTTTCGCACTAACTCCCGGTTGGAAGATGTATAAAAGGAAGCCCATGAATCCAATATACAGTCATCAACAGAACTGTGAACTGTCAGCAATATTGCATCATGTACTTCTTCAGTTACAAAATTAACACTATCATTCTTCGTCTTTTTCGGATTTTTTAAGTTCCTTTTTATGTAGTCAGTCTTGCCCCAATTACAACAGGTTGTCTACTGACCAGACTTTGACTTGCCCTTGCCTCCATGTTTTTGATTTCGATCTGCCTCTGTTTGAGTCACTGACTTGTGATCTCCATCTGAAATCAACATTCAGTGCCCCCGAACTCGAACTCAAGGTCTCGCCAGAATCTTTCATGCGCACCTCCTCAGCCAAAATCAAATCACGAATATCATCATATTTCAGCTTAGATTTACCTGTTAAATTGCTAAATGTCATCCACATAGCTTCTCAGCTATTTGACAATTAAACCAACAATATCAACACATGTATTTCATCATCAAAATCAATTTCAACAAAAGACAATTGATTTGTGATAGTATCAAAATCATTTAGGTGTTGAGCAACAAACACATTTTTCGTCATCTTCAAGTTTAATAATTTTTTCATCAAATGCATCTTGTTATTTGTCGATGGCTTTACATACATACCTAATAAAGCTGTCATAAAATCTGCACTAGTCCATTCTTTGATGATTATGGGCAACGGATCTCGACAGGGTTAACCAAAAAACCACCAGAATCTGTTGATCGAACATATTCCATTCAGCATCGTTCATCTTTTCCGATCGCTTTCCCAATAACGACAGGTGAAGTTTCTTCCCATAGAGGTAGTCTTCTATCTCCATCTTTTAGTAACCAAAATCTGTCATTAAACATCTCGATCCCCAATACCAAAACTTCGTCTCTGACCATCGTTCTTTCTTAGATCCCAAACCACGGCTCTGATACCAATTATTGTGAAAAACAACGACAATAAAATGAAAAACTGGCATGAAAAATTCACAAATATAAAACACAACAAAAACACACAAATTAACATGATTCAACAAATTGCCTACGCCCACGAAGCTACACATGATTTTATTAACATGAGGAATTACAACGTCGATTGACTCGACGATTACAAGAATAACTCTATCTCCCTTCCTCTCTCCCTCTATCTCTCCTCACCTTCTTCTCTCTCTCTATCTGCCCGTAAGCCACCTCACACAAAAAGAAAGACAGGAAATACAAGCTTTGCGATTCAAAGCTCTCCCCCGTAAGCCAACGTCAATTGCAGAAGAGAAAACCAAGGGAGAGGCTTCTAATGCAAATCCTATTGCTTTTATTGGCATAATCATGGAGGAAGCAGCAGTGAATAACGAAGAGAGCAGGAAATAAAGAAGCAACCTTTCCAAAAAAGCAACGGCGGGAGATATGAAAATGCAATATTAAGCAATCATAATTATTGCTTTCCTTAATTCATGAACAGGAGGAAGGCAGGAGAATCAAATGAAGAAGGAATGAATTAAATGCAATTTAATTAACTTTCATAGATGTCAAAAATGTCAAATCAAATTGTGGACTAGGCTCCACAATACTCAACACAATAGTATTTTTTGCAAGAGATATGCCATAGCTATATATTTGATAATTTAGAAGCTAAAAATCACTTCACATGTAGTTTTCCACCAGACAAATATTCTTCTCTTCAAACTAAGGATATGTGTAAACCAAAGGATATATTATGACAGATGAATGTGAATATTAGTGAAGATTTTGGGATGTTTGATTAACCATGATGTATACCATATTATTTCCATGTTTATTATAGTGGAAAGAAATATATCAAAGTTCTTACAAGAAGCTCCTATATGATCAAGTAGTTAATTAAATTTACATACTTGGAAAAAGAATATCTCAAAAGAATATAAAGTGTATTTTATATCTCTGAAGCAGATAAAATAAATGAAAGCTATTGGTAAATGAGTCTACTTTGTACATTCAAACAAAGCATAATTATACAATAGGAAAATCAATCAAGCATATATTAACATTTTTTCCCTGAAATGAATCAAACCCCTAATACATTACAACAATGCATCTAACTCCAACACATAAAAATTGTAAGAGCAACATCAAAACATAAGATGTGTCCTTTCCCAATAGATTCATTAACAAACATAGAAATATTTCTTTTGAAAATGAACAAATAAAAAAACCAAACAAAAATATATAGAGAGATTTGAGAAAAAATAACTCAAAGCACACCAATTCGCTGCCCTCCGTAACCCTTGCACACTCAATGACACATTGAGCAACGTGAAGTTACCTGGGCCCTGCTCAAAACTGGGGTCTATTGGGCGTAAGACACAGGGCTTTTTGCCTTTTTTTCACAAAAGAGCATTTTTAAAAGCCTTGGAATTATAATGCTGAGTAAATGCAAATTCCAAATTTTTTACCTCGTATGAATGAGTAGCAACGTAGAGAGAGAGAGAGAGAGAGAGAGACCAACGTACTAGTTCTGTGAAACAAAATTCAACTTGAAGAAGATGCTTTGCCGCACCTTTCTCTTCCTGACGGAGAATAAAGATTCAGAATTACAATTAATTTACATCATTCAATTAAAATACACAACTAATAGACCTCAAAATTGTTTTTTTTCTAAATCCAAACAGAGCTGGCTGGTATTTGGCGCAGCGATTCACAGAATTGTCCCATACTTAGTTTATTACTTCTGTTCTAATCTTATGAGTTGAACTCGGAGCTTAAGAAGATGCTTCTCGAGAAAAAGTTTTATTGACGAGGAACACCAGAAAGCGTTGTGGACAAACAAGGAAATATGGACTTGACTTTATGCTTGCAGGTCTTTATTTGGTTTCCATTCAGTTGCAGTTAAAGGCACAGCGTTAATTGTAGAAGCACTAACTTCTATATCGATTAGAGGATCGCTTTCCTTTACCTGAAAAAAAATTATGATTTTTTATCAGCACGAGTGTTTTTTACATTGCAATTAGTTGCATCTTTACAGAATAATTGAAAATTGGTAATGTTAACATGGCTAATTAAAAATATGTATACATGATTTTAACACCCACAGTCAGTAATTCTGGCCACCTGCACCAATGCGAAGGCTTATTTCAACTAGTCCATAGATGATGACACGATGATCAATTTTTAGTTGATAAACATAAAGTGAGTCTCAATCTTTTTGGGATCGCTGTAGCTTTTTACGGCTACAAGTTGCTAAAAGGTGGGCATAAAGTTGTAGTAAAAATAATTTTAAAAAAGTTCCTGTGAAAATTATGAATATATATATTTGTGAAAGAATTTTACATAAGCAGCATATAATTCTTAAAATTTCTAAGGCTTATAATTATTATAAAAACATCAAAAATTTTATGATGGGGATGGTGAGCAAAACCAAACTATAGTTATTTATTATTTATATAAAGCTTGCTAAAAAAAGAATAAAAAGATATAATAAAAAATAAATATGTCAAGAGATAAGAGTTCCCGAAATCATAATCAATTTAAGGTCATGTAAATGAAGATAATAATAATTTATTTAAGGATAAAACATCAACATAAAATAGAGATGTTACTCTGAGGAATTATCGGATGGGGTTTCAAAAAAATTATTATTTAAAATTAGCATGATGAACAAAAAAATCATGAGCTGTCAAATATTACTAGGGAAAAGAAATGCCCTTAAAGAGTAGCAAAAATAAATACTTCCAAGGTTTATAATTATTATAAAAAATAATACAAATTTATAAAGAGAATAGTGAGAAAAACCAAAAATATAGTTATTCATTATTTAAATAAAACTAGGTAAAAAGAAACAATAAAAAGATACAATATAAAATTAATAGGTCAAGAGATAAAGAGTTTTTTGAGACCTCGATCAATCTATATTCATGTAAATGAAAGATAATAATAATTTATTTAGAGATAAAATATCAACATAAATAGAGATGCTACTCTAAGAAATTATTAGATGGGGTTTCAAGGAAATTATTATTTAAAATTAGTGTGATGAACAAAAAAATGAAATATATAATAATAAATTATATTAACAAAATAAATTATTAAATAAATGCAATAGTTAGATCTGATGCAATAGAAATAAGGATAATAATGTCTTATTTAAAAAATGAAAGATCGAAATATTAGTTTTTACAAATTATTAAATAAAAATTTCAAAAATAAACTATTTTACATATGCATAATGAACAAAATAATAGACACATAAGGATAATATTTTAAGCCTACTCGTCCAAATAAGAAATTTATTGAGATTCAAGAGATAGGGATACTAGTGGTTTGGCAAAAAAACATTTAAAATAATATTGATGACAAAGAGGACACACAAGGTATTAGAGAATAATTATGATACCAATATTTAAATATAAAGGAAATGTTCAATATTATAATTATAGAAAAATGAAGCTTATGAATCATAAAATGAAATTATTAAAAATAGTAATTAAAACTGACAACTAGAAAAAATAAATCAATATTAAATAATCAATTTGGTTTCATGACAGAAAGATTCACTATAAGATTAATTTTTAAGCCAAACTAATTAAAATTTATAGATAGAAAAAAATCTTCATATAATCTATAAAAAGGTACAGGATGAATAAAAGTGTCAATTTGAACCCAACATGAAATCCCAAAACAAAATTGTGGCTCAAATTTAGCAATAAAAAATCTAGATCATGGACAACCTATATAAAATGTGAGTTGATTTGGGTCATTAGATTCAAGTCATGTGGAATGAAGTTAGGCCAAGGTCGATTTAAAAAAAATGTCTTGACTATTTGATTTTATAATGAAAAACTCATATACAGATATTTTTTGCTTATTTTTCTTAGTTATCATCTTTAAATCATACAATCATGTTTATTTTGGTAGGGTTAACACCAACCCATTAAAACATACTTGTTTTCCATGTTATAACATTCGTGAGTTTTGGTTGAGTCGAGTTTAGGTTGCGTTTTTGACCCGTTCAAAGAGTGGGTCAAGTTTGGGCCCCTAAAGAATATCATGATGACTGATTTGCTGCACACCAAGCAAGTTATTCGTGCATAAGAAATATTGAATTTATCAAAGACATATATGACCATAGTTAATTAATACAAGTTGTTATAAAGTGACCAAAAGTTTAGATTAAGATTACATCAAAAATGAATTTAAGTCAATCTATTTTTATATTTATTTATGAAAATGCTTACCAAAAGCATTCAAAGTGAGATGTCATGGTGCATGTTTGAAAACATAATTCTAATAGGTGAAGCCTCTACCAAAACAAGAGGAAGTTTGAAACAACGAAGAAAATGTTTAGAGGACAAGAGGAACTATTTTTAATAGAGCAAATATAGACTATATAATATGACATTTTAGACTTTTTAACAGCTTTGAAATTAGCTGCTAACAACCAAAATCTTTAGAAGTTGAAGTACTAATTGAGCGCAGTAAGTTTAAGTTTTTTTTTTCCCATTATACAAACTAATAATGATATAGATTAAGGGTGTGATTGTTTCGGGTGTGGTTATATGAAATTTGAATTCAAAAGTTATTGTAGAAAATTTATTGACCCAAAACGTGGTCTCAAAATTTTGTTTTGACCCAAACGGTGGTCTCAAAATTTTAAACAAATGCAGTAGCATAAGACAGAGCTTCTAAAGTCAAAGGTGAATGGTTAGACTAACTATGTTATACGGATCTGAGTTTTGGATGATAAAAATTTCATTAAAATTTAAATTGGGCGTGGAGAAAATGAGAAACAAAGATGGATATGAAATAAAACAAAGAATGATTTATTAATGATTACACAAAATGAATAATTAGAGTAGCACCAATTCAAGACGAGACGGTTGAAAAGGGACCAGTTTATATAGAAATATATATTGATGGATAAAAAAAGCACTATTATATTAACGGATAAAATTAAGTATCGAATGATTAGGTAGGAAAAGAGTAGACCAAAGATAACATAGAAAGAAGTTGTTCAAAAAAAGAATAAAAAAGATGGTTTTAATAACTCATATACCACACAGTGGACCCAAATAAGGATTCATAAAATCAACCTCAAATAGTTGGTTTGGGGTTGTGCTTAGAGGCAACTCTAACATCGACATGCTACCCACAAGAAAAAAATCTAGTGGAAACCTCTTTTGTTTATTTGTTGTTGATGATGAAGATTGTGTGTGTGTGTGTGTGTACTGCATAAGTGTGTATTAAGATTCCAACATAATCTGCAAAAATAGAAGCTCACTTCATGGAAAATGAAACCACGTAACATTACAAGCAACAACACTATTCAAGAGAAATCATTCCTACTATATC